ATTAAAGCTAATTAAGTGCAAACTGATATGGGACGAACTGAGAGAGAAATGTTGATGGGACGAACTGAGAAAAAAAGCTTCGTGGGACGAATTGAGAAGTCAATTTGGGACGAACTGAGAGTAAACCTATTTTTATCGTTCAAAGATCTGAGAAAAAAACTAATTGCATTTTATACAGTTTAATTTAGATTTTTATCTGAATCACAAATGCAAACTTCATTTAAAATAAAAAGCCTTTGATAATTAAAAATTAAGTTTTTTATTTTGTCCCACTATAAACTAATATAGAAAACGACAAGAGAACGAAGAGAAGAATTTTTCTTCGATAATCATCACAATCACTAAAACATTCATGATGAGTAGAAATATCATATACATCGTTTATTTAATATGTAAATGTTAGAGTGTTGACTTTCCTCAATGATTGAAGCCACACTGCATTCAATTAGTATTAGTAAAAATTCATTTATTCAAGCGTATTTCTCTATTATAATCCATTTTTTGATGTAGATAATGTATCAAAATCGATAATATAGCCCTGTTATGAAGCTGTTGAACAATAAACTGAGTTATAAGAATAATAGTATGAACAAAATAAGCTCGTTTTTTTCACTGTCTCTGCTTATCACTTCTAGTGTTTTATTTATTTCAAATTATTATAAAAAAAAATAATTAATCAAATTATAGATGCAAAAATCTCGTAAAAACAATTGAATATTAGAAAAATAATAGCAAAAAATTTCTGAAGACATAAAAAAAATACTTCTTATCATCTAAAAACGAAGACAAATTTCTTTGATTTTATAAATATTCTGAATAAATATATTCAAATTTATCAGTATTAAAAATATAAAAAGTTCAAATTTTTTCTTTCTTCATTCATATAGAATCTGACCTTGTAAACAAAATACTAGTGACTAAAAAGACTTGATTAGTTAGAAAACGAACCATTTTTTTTTTATATGCCAACATATATTTGTTTTTGAATTATCTTCAAATCGATGTCGAGAATAACTAAATATTAAACGACGCCAATATGCATTACGTAATTTTTCCCATTTATATATATTTGTTCGTTTTTTATTAGCGATTATAGTTGATAGTTTATCGGTCAAAAATTGTTCTGTAACTATTGTCCAATCATCAATAATAATAATTGGTAAATCCTGATAGAGACTAATTAAGGTCGAATTCATGACTATAGGTATAATATCCAAATAGAGTGCTTCCCATGTTCGATGACAATCTAAACCATTTCCTCGTGGTGATAACCACAAAGGATACTGTCGATTACGTTTATAGATTTGTGGTATTTGAGTTATCTGTACACCTGAACCTTTATTAATACAAGTTGAAAAATTTAGCCAATTATTAGAAATTTTTTGATTACAAACAATGCTCCATATTTTTTTGCGTAGACCAGTTTGATCAGTATTAACATCAAAATTAAGTAAAACAAGTTTTTTAACCATTTTTCGTTCATTTTTTAAGCTTACATCAAAAGGTAAGACATAGGATAGTGGTTCATCGATATCATTACTGACAGATGAAGTAGATTCAAACATTTTTGAGATTGAATTTGCTTGAATTTGATTGTATAATTCTTGAATACCATTGGCCATTTCGTAACAATTTATTCCTAAATAAGAAAGAGAGAAAGAATAACAAAATCAGTAACGTATCCATGAACTCATTTACCAATTGGAATGTGTGTAAATCGAATATTTGGATCCGACAATATCATTCCATTTTGTCCAAACCAATGAATTATTTTTGAATCATTATTTTGAATATATTTTAAATGTTTTGATTTTGGTACAGACAAATCTCCTTCACCCGTAATTAAAACAAATTTATTTATCAGTTTTGGATATATTTTATCAAAAAATTCATCAATAACCCATACACGAACATAAATTATACTACCGTCTGGTAAACAAGGAGCAACTTGATCAACATTTGTTAATGAATGAATTTTTTCTTTAAATTGTTCTGGCCATCCATAGATCCATTCGGCCATATTTCGAAAATTTTGTGGACACACATATTCTGGATAATTATGTGCCGATTCGATATAGTTTGCTCTTAAATCAATAAACATAATATCATCTTTTGTTCGTTCCATTTTCCAATGACATAATGTTGTACAATCATGGATAATTCCATAGTTATTCAAAAGATCAATAATTGTATAAAATATTGAGAAAAGAATAATAACAATAATAAAATAGAGAAAATAATAGAAACATATTCTTAATGTTCGTTTTTGACAATAAATATATTTTATATTCATTACTTGAAGAAAATGAATTGGTGGATGAGGATAAAACATATTCTAGACGTTTTCATGAAACATAATTTTCTAAATTAAATAGACTAATTAAATTATAATAAAAAGAATATTATGTTTAATTTTTTTACTTACTTTGACTGGTTGTATTATCCTTGATTAAGGATAACCAGAGCTGACCAGTAAGACTCTGGTCGCGATGCGACTCTGGGCGAGATGCTCCATTGAGACAAGAACGTTTTTTCAGAGAACACAAGGAAAAAAATTTTCTGCGGAGAAAAAGCGATTTATTTTTATTCTGGGGTGGCGGAGGGGTCGCACCCCCACCCCCAGTAACGTCAATTCTGGGGATAACGCAGGAATTAAAAAATGAAAATACATGCAACAATCAATACCGTACAAATGTTGCTAAAAAAGTTTTTTTTGATAGATATAGGACATTCAACAGGTATGCAACCGTGAAGAGTATCAAAACAAGCTTCTAGTTACTAGGTATTTCTTATTATTTTCTACTAATAAAATTTTCTCGTCATGGTGTACGGTTGATGATTGGTTCTCTGATTTTTCTTCTTCCATCTCTAACCTTCTCAGTTTGTGCGTATGATCCTACAAAAAGAAATTTTATCGGCATGGATTATGCACTGATGTGAAACACGTCTTACACGATTCGATGTTTTCTTATATGAACGTGTAATAAGATCATACAGTAAGATCTTACAAAGTCTTGTGAAGATTTTCTAAAATTTTGTGATATTTTATTATAAAATCTTAAAAGATCAATGTGTACGAATTGATAACATCTTGCAACAGTCATTAATGCATCATGTTTAAGGTTCTTGTCATAAGATCGTACACCGAAACAAATGAAAAATTTTGGTCGACAAGTATTTCGCGTAGTCAAAATTCTTTGTCGACTGGTCGAAAACTAATCGAATTGCATCAATTTCGATGAGTTACCGGCTAGTCTACTCGTCGGAATATGGCTTCTTCTGACGAGCGTCGAAAACATAAAATCGACTAGTCGATTTACTTGTCGAACACTTGCATGGGGCAAGGACATATATGAAATCTTGATGTATATTTTTAGCTTGCAACAAGTATCACTTGTTACAATCGTATGACAAAAATTGTGTTACGAAATATAACGCATGTATACAACAGATTCTGATGAATAAATTTTAGTTTTCTTTTTCTTCTACTTCAGGCTTCAGCAGAACACAAAGTAAAGTGTATGGCTTACAGAGGGCTGGGAGATGGTACAAACTTTGTCCCGAGATGTTTTTAGCTTACATATAAGACTACAGCTCTCATTTTATCTTATTAGTCTTATTATACTTTCGTACTTTTATATTTGTCATACTTTTAGCCCCTTAAGTGTTTTATCGCCTTTATTCCCTTTACTCCTTTTAGTTTTTTACTGCCTTTACTCCCTTTACTTTTCTGTTTCACGCATATCAGAACTATTACCCTCACTCTCACTTTATAACTAAGAGTAGTAAAAGAAGTAAAAGGAGTAAAGAAAGTAAAAAACTAAAGAACATACTCAGTCATCTATCAGTACAACTTTTTCATAACTAAAAAGATCTCGGGACAAACTTTGTACCTTCTCCCATCTCTGGGCTTACAAATGTGACAAGACAGGTCCTATCTATGCTAGAAAATAAATATCAATAAAAGAAAGGACAGAGTACACGGTGGGCATTTTTCCACAGAGCAGACGGACATCTAGTTTTATGAGTTAAAAAATGATTATTTTTGCATAATATTGTCTTATTATGTGTCAAATTTTAATAAAAGTAAGAAAAGCCAAATTCGAAAAAAATGAAAAATCGATGAGAGGGCTGGGCCCTAGCCCTGAGTTTTTGATGAAAAATTTTTAATCGCAAAACTAATAAGTGATACATCATTCGATGAAATCTTTCACACTAATTCCAAATATTACGTTATTTCTTGAATAAAAATGTTTTTTGACTGAGAAAAATGTAAAATATCTGGAAAACCTAGATCTCGGTCTAGGCAAAAAGCTGCATAAAACTGCTATCACGACGGATTCTGGCTATGTCGATGCATATTCTGTAAAATTGTCAACGAATTTGGATCTTCAAAAAATTTCGAAAACTCATCACGCTGAACATAACTCTCGGAAAAATCGCCTCGTTTAAGAAAAACCTCTTTTTCGCTAAAAGACTTGATCTGAGACGAACTTTTTTTTAACCAATAAATAGCTAGAAGCATCCTGATTCCAAATAATACGTTTCGAAAATTTAAATGGAATTTAGTTCAATAAAAAATTGATTTTACATAGAGGTCACGAATATATGAGGTATTTTTTCTTTAACATTTTTTTATCCGCAAATTCCTCGTTCGAAACAAAACTTTTTACGCCATTAGATAGCCCATCTATCAAAGTAGATTTTAAAGAACCGCACTTTCGATTTTTCGTTAAATATCCGTCTGGTGTAGATAGAGGGAATGATAGCAAAAAGCAGGCATATCAGCTGGGATATTTAGCTGAATTTTTCATCAGATCTTATAAATTCCTGTATGATCTCGTAAGTTTTTGCAAATTCATATCACAAAATTATGTAGGATCTTGTGAAATCTTGTATAAGATACCTGAACCATGACTCTTATAAAATCGTGTAAGATTTTAATATGATCTTATAAAATCACATTTCAAGATTCTTCCTTGTGGGTGCGCACCAATGCAGAATAGGTACCCCAGGATATGTGTATCTTCTTCTGATCCTTTTGAAAACCACGTTCTTGAATCGGTTCCTTCTGTCTCTTCTACACAATTGTGAGAGAATTCGGTCAAAAATCATCTAATTTTCCTCACTGCAAAAATATTATGAAATATCTCGTCGTCTTTTCCCTTTTGATGATAAAAAATATATAAAATGCTAGTTCTTACAATGTTCTCATATCAAAAAGGTAACAATATTATTCAATATATAATGTTTAAACCAATATATTTAAACAAGATTTAATTGCATTTACCTAGATTTAGTATTTCTTAATCGTATTTCAACTCAGAAAGTGTTTATATCTTGTTAATTTCAAACATACTTGATACAATACAAAATTCATATTTGTTTAATTATTTATTTTCGATTCTCGAGTTACAATGACATATTTCTCATAACTTACAGATATCTTAATATTCATGCCTGCATATGATATGAAATTATTATATACTTAAATCTTGTTTAAATACTTACTTACTTGTTAAATACTTACATCTTGTTTAAAAATATATTGGTTTAAACATTCTATATTGAACAATATTATTACCTTTTGGGTATGAGACCATTGTAAGAGCTAACATTTTATATATTTTTTATCATCAAAAGGACAAATATGTCAATATATGAACATCAAAGTGGTTATTCACTAACAAGGCACTTTCATTTTATAATATTTTTGGAGTGAAAGAAATCAGACGATTTCTGATCAGGTTCTTTGTCTTTTCGCTGTTGATCTCTTGTTAATTAGTCCTTTTTCTTCTTGTGGTTTTACTTTATCGTATACTCAAGAGGGTTCACATTTAGTTTTAAATTGTTCTACTTTGACTATGTTATTTCTAAATTTTTCCGAATATTGTTGGCTTTCTTTTTTTCTATCTGTTTCCGTTTTATTCATAACATTTCTATCTGAATAGAACCCTATCCATTGTTTTTTGAAAATTAGTATTCTGTAGGACTTCTTGAAAGCGAATTTAAAGCATCTCAAAAAATAGCAAACGAGAGATATTTTTCCTCGTTTCAGTATTAAAGAGCAGTGCTCTATCTACAAAATGAGATGTTCCATAGTTCTCTAACACCAAGAATCATTGCGCTAGATATGTATGATTACAAGTTAGATGTCGCTTTTTGTCGTCTAAGTCTCAAGGGAATTCATCACAATTTTAGTTTACTAACTGTCAACTCTATAGTTCTACAGAGTACTAATTTTCAAAAAACCATGAAAATTTTATGGTTACATATGACTTCAAATGTATCATTTACACTCAGTTTTTCATGCACTTTCCAATAGTGTTACTAAAAATTGTTTAAACCCATTCAATGACGGAAAAAAATAGCATGATTCGATACATTTTTACTGGAAAATACTGCATCTTTTTGAAAAAAAACACTGAAAACAAAGCAGACTGATAAAATTTTGACCACAAATTTGGAAAAATTTCATCCTTTTCTGTATATTGTCTATCCTGAATAATACAGAAATTTGATTTTTATTACTCAGTAAGGTCCTGAAATTTCGTATTGCACATGATTTTATAATTTTTCACATTATTGTACCTTTTCCAAATTTTTCTGTTTGTTCTTTCACTCCGTCGTAAAGATTTCAGACTTGTACAATTCTTTGTACCTTTTATTCCATTCAGCTTCTCACTATTCTTCTGTATGTCTTATGTTTCTTCTATTACTTTTATTGTATCTACTTTATTTCTTTTCCTACATTTATCGTTCTTTTCAACGTGACTGAAGAATAATCCGCTCACGTTGACCGTCTACATTAAATTTAGACAGTAGTATTCGTTTTTTTCAGCTTCATGAGTTTGACTTAGATCTGAGCATAAGCAAAGAAAGCAGGTTGCATGAACTCCCAGCAGAAGGCCTGCTCCACATTGAATTGATGAGAAAGCGTCTCTTGTAACACATACAGCAACAACTCTGATTCGTAATGGGAATTCTCAAGCACGAAACAGTAGTAAGCAAATGCCGCAGGATGATTTTGAAGAAGTAAATACGTCGTTAGTTTTTCATACCTAATAACACTTCTGATTATATGTTCCAGATGAGGATGGTGACGTGATCAGTTTATTTAAGTTGTTCTGAATAAAAGTTTACCTTTAAAAATAGCTAGAGATGTATTTCTATCCACCCACGCAAACAAACAAGAAAAAGAAAAGTAAATAAATCGCCATTTTACAGACTAGTTACTGTAGCAACCACTTCTCAGCAGAGGAACACTCTTTTACAGTAGGCAATTTTAAGAAAGAGAACTGGAAGAAAAATGTGTATGGAGTGGAAGTGCGA